GGAGGAAATAACAATAACACTAACACTAGACAGTGTTGTAACATGCCCATTCTAAACTGCGATTTTATTGGGGATTAAATATTTACGTTTCTATATATCAAACGATATACTACATTGTCAGTAACGTCACTTTTTTCATTCTTGGAAGACAATGCCAAATACACGTACATCTCAGCAGCTCCCTTTCTGAATGAAAAAAACTGGGTCCCTTTGCCAGTTCTAGCTAATACAGTGAAATGCTAAATGCATCCTTCTAGTGGGCCTAACTAAAAAAAAAATTTTAGGCTAACTCAAAAAATGATGTCCATATTTACCTCCTTGGATGAAGAAAGACTGGCATTTATACTCACAGATGAGGATACATTAATTCAGCAGCTACTTGAAAGCCCTCAGGCAATTTCCAAATGACTAGTAAAATTGTTTACTACGTGAACCTGCCATCCTTGCCATTTCATAAAGGTATTTTAATAATCCTTATCAACTTTTCCTCCTTTGGACCCTCCCCCCAAAATGAGTTTTCTTATGTTTCCTGAAATTTCAACATCAACTAAAAAAATACCATTTGGTGTAGAAAATGCAAGCATTCTTTATTCAGTCTCTGCGCCTAATGAGAGGCAGTGAAAAATCTGGGCTATTTCTGAATCCCATGGAATTATTATCCATCTAGAAACTGACTGCCCTGAGTCACAGCTCAGTTCAGACCACTCACCCAGTCATTTCATTATTTATAGTAAATAATAGGCCAGTGACACAGTGTGAATAGCATAGCTTGTGAAAGTATCCTTTTTGGTATGTTTTAAGAAGTAGACGAACAAAGGCCGTTCTAACAACAGGCTATTTGGGGCTATAAATATTTGTTAACACCTACTGCAAAACACGTAAAAGGAGAAAAGAAATGTCATTCCCTTAGTTAACTTAATGTGCATATTAAACTTTAGAATCCTATGGGACTTAAAATCAGAATCTTTTATCTGTAGTTCAAACTAGTGTTAAGTCAGTCAGTGGACTTAAGTTAAAATGAAATTCAGGGAAGCAGTTAACTGATATTAATATTCAACTGATGAAGCTGCAGGCTGAATAAGATTGGCAGTTTGAAAAGTCTAAAGGTTTAAAATGTGTTTTAATTTCCATTAGATTCACTTACACGTTCATGTTACAAGAATATCCTAGTCTGGAAAATATTTGATCCATTAATTCTCCTTTCAAAATATAATGAAATGAATGAATTACTAAAAGTTAAGAAGTGAAAATTATATGTGACTTGAGTTTTTACATTTGCCAAACCAGCTTCTGCAAGAAAGAAAACTAGTAAGCTGTTTTTTGGTCAGAAAAGTGAATTGATTTCTGGAGCAGAGGATTTCTATCATTTTCCTCCAGGAACTAAATATGAAAATGGTAAAAAATGAAAACCTGGGAATTTCAAGGTCTCTCAAGCTTTCTTGGCATCAAATCCCAGTCAATAAGTTTGTGTATTATATCTCTGGTGTATCCAAAAAGAATATGAAACCTCCTTTGTGCCCCCACTGTTTAAAATTTTCACCACCGTTAGTTTCAAACGAGGCTCTCAAAACAACCAACTTTTTGTCGCGCTTCTGATTTTGTGACATCGTAGCTTTCTGATAGTAGCTGAGCCTTCTTTATAAGGTAGAAAAAACATATATACATATGAAGTGTCTAAAAACTAAAACCTATTTACATTATATATAATATATATATATAATCAGTGCACTAAAACTAAAATCTAATTAATCTGTTGGCTCTTTACGTTATAATAATTGATTTTATTACAAAAGCATATTTTTAGTGGTGAAAATAATTCTTCTAAAAAATATGGTTATGTCAGTGACTACGTTGTTTTTAAATGACCTTGGTTTTGACCTCCAATGTTCGAAAGAACAAAGAGACTCTTTCCAAGATGTTCTTTAGGAAATCTTCATGATGTACTAGGTAAGAGCAATTATATGATGCTATTCTTTTTACAAAGAAGGAAAGTGACATGCCAGAAGGCTAATTTTAGTTTCTTCCCAGAATCTTATAATTAAATGAAAATCTGACTTCTAACTAGATATTCATAAACTAGGCTTCTTTAGGAAATTCATGTTCCCAACTTACTCTTTCTTTCATGATGCCATTTGCCTTCCCAAGAAATGTCTGATTTTAAATGCTGTGTTTCATATTTTAACAAGCCAAAGAAAACAGATACCATTGTGTTTTATGTAAACTGTCGTGCTAATGGGCCACGTGCAGCTGCCAGGCAGGCTACCATCTCAGGGCTGGGGACAGTGTGAATATTGTGTGGTGCAGTATGAATTGAACGTGAAAAACCAACTAGTGCAAATATTCACTGAGATAATAGAATAATAAGTTTTTGGAGCTGGAAGGGACTCTAGTAACCATCTGGGCTAATGGGTTTGCCAAGTTTTCACCAGTAACAATTCTTTCATTATTTTAATTGCAGACCCTCGATTTTGAAGGATTTAAAACAAGCAGAGGAGCTGCAATTTTTACTGTTATTATCTAATACTGAAAATCACGTGGGGTTTTAATTCATGAAAAACTCTGTCACTAGATTTGAGGACTCAGGCTGGGAATTAATGAATTAGTGCCATTCCTCACTCCATTGGTGACGAAAGTCATGCCAGTATCATATGAGGGCTGTTCCAGGATGCACAGCTAAAGAGGTTGCACTGGAGAGAGAACCAATATAAAAGGGAAATTGACTTGAGAAAGCACAATCTGACCTCTCCTTGGCACTTCTTCCTCAGCATCCCACCTTTAATGTTTGTGGTCACCCTTGTCCTTTCCAACCCCAGCTCTTCCAGGCTCCCTGTGCTGGGCAAAGGTTTTAATGAATTGCCAGATATTGAAGATGCTCAACCCAGTGCTCTCACTCTGTCTCACTCTTGATATTCACACCTATGTTTCCTGTTCTCTATTCAATACCACACACTCATAGACCTTTAGGTCTTCACTTGACCTACATGTTTATCAATAACACCATCCTTCCTCTTTTCAAGGCTTCTTCAAGGAGCAACCCAAATCTCATCTTCTGTGAAACATCTCTTGAGTTCCATCCCCAATCACGTCCAGGTAGAAATTATGTGCTGTTTCCTGTGCTTATGTTACAAGTCATAGCAGGTGGCCTCTTTTCTGATTGGCTGTTCAGGAGTGTCTGCCTAACTAGATCGGAAGAATCCCAAGGCTCAGAAAATTATCTGATTTCTCTTTGTAATTCCATTGGCTGCACAGGTCTGGCCTCCATGTGCCTATTACACAAGGCTTTGTGTGTGGTGTGTAATGAGGACCTGTTCGAAATACTAAAAGTATCCATTATCCAATTTTATTCAGAGTCTGCTATTCATAGTAAGCATAAACTTTAGCTACATTTGTGCATTTCTTACAGCTAAATATTTTAATTAAAATATAGTACAAAATGGTAGCTTCAGAAAATCTTGTCTTTTGCTAGTAAATTAACTAGCAAACATCATTATTCAGAAGGAAAAATACAGTCCTCTTATGAAAAATTGTAGCAGACAAATATACTGTAAAACACTGTTAATATGACACTTTTGATATGACAAATATATGCCAAACTTATAGCAAGTTGAAAATATAAACCACTATGGATGACTGATTTTCAACATGATCTTCCCCATTATTGTTTCACAGCCCCTGTCCTATTGGGCACAAGGAGAGAAAAATTCAACAGAGACATATCTGTAGAACAATTACTAGATGCTGCAGAGAATACAGGAGTAGGACACAACTTCTTACACTGTCAAGTGGGTTTAATGAACATCTTACATGTTTGCAACAAGTTGTTAATATACTCTGGTTGCTTAGAAATGAGATATTGGCATAGACAGAGAGGAAGTACAGTGTAACAGTTCTAAGTCTGGGATTTGCTGTCCGTTGGGTCTGAATCTTTACTCTGCCAATTGCAGCTATGTGACCTTGGGCAAGTTAATTAACCTCTTTAAACTCCAATTTTCTCATTAAAAAATAGAGCTAATAATAGAACCTATTTTATAAAAGTCATTACAACGGTTAAGTAGAATAATACATAGAAACTACTTGGTACCACTCTTAGGAAATAGTAATCATAAATGAAATTAACTGTGACTGCTGTCATTGTGGAGTGGTTGTAATTGGAATTAAGGTCATAGAAATTTAAGAATAGAAGGGAACTTACTGATAATTTGAAAACAAATCCCTTATTTTACAGTTGAGGAAACTGAAATTTAGAACAACTGTGAGTCTTGCTCAAGTTTGTTTATGCAGTCATGGTTAAACTTGCATAGCTTCCAAGTGTCCAGAATTGCAGCTTAGTGTTCTTTATATTCTTCACTGAAATGACTATTAAAATTATTTTCGACATAGTTGATTTGCCATACACAAAACCATTTTTTACTTCTAGAATTATTTTCTTTGTGATGGCTTACTTGGGTAAAGAAAAGTGGCAGAAAACTATATTTGGGCAAATGTATGAAAATTGTTTGAAGTTCTTTAGTTCACATTATGTTTTTCATTGTCATTCTCCCTGTAATACCCACCTCCAAGAACATGTTATCTCTTGCCAAACAAGTAGAAAAATTCATCTGTGTCTGTGGTCATCTGCACTCAGAGATAGGTCCACATACATGTTTATTTAAGGATGCTGTTCTAGCCCCCACCCCTCCAGAACAGTCCCTAACCTGTAGTCAGTTTCAGCTGTACGCACATCAGCGGCCAGAATTTGACCACTGGCTCTGATTCTGGAAAACTTTCAAATTTCTTATTTTAACTGATTGGTAAAATGCAAGATTAGATTTCAAAGAATTTTTTGCTATGTACATTAGCTACTTTAGTCAACCAACATTGTTTTAATATCTTTTTTGGTCAATTAATTTTAGAAAGTGCTCATATTTATTTTTGTCTGGGCAGTAATATTAAATATATGCACTGAATTTAAGTGTGCAGATGAGTGAAAATGCTTTAATTATATGCACTTCAATTTTTCTATTCAGATTACAGTATTCTTAGCAAAGCAATGTATAATTCAGATCCCAAGAGAAAAATGGTTGAAGAATATCTAGGATATGTTACAAATATTCTGGTTTAAATCAAATTGCATGTATATTTCTGCACCTAGCTTTTTACTCATTTATAAAAATGATTTCTCTGTAATTATAATTTTAATGCCTGCATAATGTTATATAATATGGATTGCCATATTTCTTGTTTTTGTAGGACATTTAGGTTGCTTCCAATATTTTACTGCTATAACTAATATTTTAATAAGTATATTTAAATAAAAGTCTTTTTTATATTTCAATTTTTAAATAACATCATAAAAATATAATTACTAGGACAAAGAATATAAACATTTAAAGCATATTATTTTTGTCAACTAGGATAGTGCTCCTCATTTATCAGCTGATCAAAAAAGTAAAATGCTGTTTCTCACTGTGCTTTTTACTTGTATATCTTTCATTATTAATAATGAAATATTATTTAAATATTCTGTATTTCATTAGTCATTGTTTCTAAATTAATGAATACTTTATAATTCATTCATGAACTATGCCCACTGAGATTTTTTATTTTTCTTTAACTTATTTTTCTAAGTTTTAATTATTTTGTTTTTTAAAACGTGCTTTAATAATTTGTTCTGTTTGGTTATTTACTCATCTTATTCCAAATTACCTTACCAAAAGTTGTTTGTTAATGTGAATTTTAGGATTCATTTTTAAATTTCCTGAAGAGATTTCCTATTGGGATTTTGGTTGAAATTAAGTTAAATATATAAACAAATCTGGAAGTAATTTTTTTTTCAATCTGCCCATTCAAGAATTTGTTTACTCATCCCATTAACCCAAGCAAAATATTGTAGGTCTCAGTCATTTCTTGTTAAGGGGATTCTTAGTAATATTTCACATTTGTTCCTGTAAATAAAGTCATTTTTTCCACTATAATTTCAAATTGGATATTACATGTAAGGAAATCTTTGGATTTAGACTAGATTGTATTCAAACAGTTTATTGGACTCAAAAACTCTATTTCTTCTTTTTTTTCCAGTTTATTTTCTTAGGTTTTCCATCTACGAGTCCTTTCTTTCCTGAGCCCATGTCAGACTTTGCACGCTCATCTGCTCTTTCAATGGTGCACATATCAGTATGGGAACAAACTGAGACGGACTCTAATTCATTTTAATAGAAAAACACATCTACAATGACATTTTTCCCAAAACATGCCTTTCCTCATTCCTCCATCAATAACTTAGTCCTCTGAAATCTGAGCTGCATCCTGCCTAACATTGCTTAAACTACTTTTTTCAGTCTCATATTTATTTTCAGTATATTCACATGCTAATCAATGTTACAGGAACAGGATGAAAATAGCTTGCTATGTCACCAATGATTTCCCAATTATCAAATTAGTTAATTACTTAATTCATAATAATCATTTGTTGAATTCCAATGAGCACTCTTAAGCCACACCATACTTTAAGAACTTGACGACACAGTTTTCTTCATCTTCTTCATTACGGAGTTCTGTCCCTTTGGTCATCCCACTCATTTCTCCACCTCTCAGTGAGCTTCAGGCAACTGGGATGGCTCATCTTCCACCCACTGTTTAAATATTATGATTTCCATGAGGGTTAATTTGTTTCTCATTACTACTCCTTCTTCTTCTTTTTTTTTTTTTGTACTTTCCTCTTGAGCAATCTAAACTGTTTCACAGTCTCCAATGTGATCTGTACATGACTGACTCCCAGAGTTACATATTAGCTCTCACCTCTTTCTAGAACTGCATTCCTAACTATGTACTTGTCACTTCTACCTAGATGTTCAGCAAAAATGTTTAATCAGTCCAAAATGAGATTTGTTTTCTGTTCCTCAAAATCACCTTCCTTGTTGATCATTCTTTATTTGGGGTAATGGCATCATGGTAACACTAGATACTAATGATATTTTATGATAATAATAGTGATACAACAATAACAACAAGAAACATTTTATTCAACACTTACTATATTCCAGGCACATGTTAAAGAACACTGCATATATTAATTTGTCAATCCTCTCACAATCTTACGAGGTAGAAACAGTTATTATTCCAGTTTACAAGTAAGAAAATTTAGGCACAAAGAGTTTGAGCAATTGCCCAAGGTCACATGGGTACATAAAAAGTGGTGAAAACAGTTTTATAG